CCTGGCTCATACATCCTCGATCCGTCCCTGATCGAGGAGTATGAGAGTTCCCTCCCGTCCACTTCCTCGGGACCGCCAAGAGGCGGTCGTTGAGAGGGGGGTACTGTTGGGATCTTGAGATGTACCACCTTTCTCCAGCAGAGTGCGGTGTGGGTCTCCTGGGCTGGAGCCCCCCAGCACACCTGACGTTCATCAACCCATCAGGAGACCTGCCTTCATAAGCAGCAACCAGACCTTCCTTCGACGCCGCAGTGTTGACCTAGTTTGGTTAGCAAACCTGAGCCTCTGTTACCTGAAAGAATCTTTGTTATCTCAAGAGAGAAACCTGATTCTAATCTGCCTCTGTCTTTGCTCACAGGAAACCTGTCTCAAGTCTGAAGCTCTGGATGAGCTTAACCTGCCTGCCAGCCCTGGTGAGCCAAATCTGAAGATTCCAATCTGGAGTTCTCCTGCTGCTCTCAGAGAAGAGCTGGAAACTCTGATCAAGGTCTGCCATTCAAAGTCAGAAGCTAGACGCTGCTGCTGCTTGTGCACTCTGCTGAACCAACAGTCTCTGGACCCAACCGGTTCCCTCTCTCACAAGCAAAGCCTGGACTTCTTCAAGGTAGACTCTGAATTATCTAAAGACTCAATTAATCATCTGACTGCCTGGCTAATCAAACTGTCCGTCTCTGCAGACATCAGTGAACCCAACCCGGGCCAGTACCAGAACCTGTACATGTCTTTTGTTAAAACCTTTTTCAATAAACTCTGTTAAACTTTTACTCAGCCTCCGTTTGTGTTCTGCATGTGGGTTTAGCTTTAAACCAATCATGACACCTCCCAGCTTAAAGTCCACAGAGAGACACACCCAGTCAGATTGATCCCAGTAAAACCTCTGAGTCCATGAAATGTTGGTTATTCTCATGTTTCAGAGCAAAGTCCACAGTCAGACTCTGCCAGGTCTCTGCTGTCCAGCTTCTTAGGGACAGTTGTCCCTGTTTGACCCATTTCAATGCCTCTGCTGTGACAGTCTGGCTAAAGTTAGTCCAGGAGGGTTGGAGACCTGTCCACCATCTGAACCAAAGCTGTAAACTCAGAGGTGTTTACTGTGGAGGAGAGAAACCATCTCTGTCACTGCCTCGGTCATTTCTCTGGACCCCTTTGAACAGAGAGCAGATGTTTCAGCTGGACCTCTGCTGGTTTGTGGTGTTTCAGTGAGGCTCATATCATTGATGTCCAAGTCTGATGTGGTTGGAGGTGTTGGAACCAGTCAGCGTTGCCCTTTGAGGCAGACAGTCTGTGAACAAGAACTGATGTTAGGATGCATATGGTTTCACACTGACAGTGTTTCAGAAAGCTGACGTTCTGCCTCTCTGAGAGACAACAGGTCCTGGAATAACAGCTTCTGTTGCTCCTGAGGCCTCCTGCTGTCAGGGTGATCAGATGTTCTTCTCCTTTGGTCAGCTGACTGATCTCACCTCATGTAGCCTGATCAGAACATCACTTCAGACCTTCAGATCAGGAACATCTTGCTAATCAATGATCCCTGTCTCCTGTCCTCAGAGAGCAGACATGCTTAAATACTCCTGAGGCGCTGCTTCAGCTGCTCAGATGCTTCAAGATGCGCTGCAGAAGGTTTTGATGCACCTTGATGCGCATCAATCATAGACTTTGCATGTAGACAGGCTGCTTCTGCTGCTCAAATCGTGTTCTGCCTGCACGTAGCCTTAGACTTTATAACACTAACAAACCAATCATTTTACATCCCATCTATTAATTTCTGTTTTTATTTTTAATTTAGGATAATTATATCCATGTTTTTCACATTTTTCAGTTCATCTTCATTCAATATTATTGTCTTTTACCTTAAATCTTTTAAGTCAAATCAAATATTTAAGATGAAAAGGACCTATTCTATTCTATTCTATTTTGTGGGAGTTTTTGTCAGTAGTAAAAAATAACTGAAACTGGTAGATGTTTTACAGAATATGAATTATTAAATGTTCTCATTTATAAAACAGATGAGATCCATCTATAAGTGATTACATTGATAAGCTAAGGTTGACAGGTCTTCTCCTCAGCAACAGGCTGTAGTTCCTCCTTGGACATGTGGAGGTGTCCCTCAGCACAGCAGGACCACAGAGCAGAAGATCTCTCCTGTAGAAGAAGTAAACACTCTGCTGAGTCCTGCTGCTGCCTAGGTTCCCCCTGAGGGACGCACCAGAAGCTGTGTGATAAGATAGGAAACCATCTCTATTGGACATGGAGGGAAAACTAACCGAGAAAGGAAATTATTCAGAGATGTTAATGAAGGAATGAATATATCTGTTAAATGACTTAATTCAAGCATCAAACAACTCATTAAACAATAAAAATTTTTTTAAAAACCTACAGCGAACCAGTCAGTTTAGATCACCTTAAATATAAATACATCCTTAAATGAACAGGTCCAATTCATATCTAGAGGTAAAGGTCTGAAATCAACACAGATAAATGTATTCTTTAATCTATATCATATTCCATCATTATTTGTCTGATCCTTGATTAATAGAAATGAAATAATGATCCTAAATCTTTTATTTAGATTATATTAGAATTGGTGAATGGAAAGCAGGGTGCTAGCTTCCTCAGAAGGCTGCAAAGTCCCTGGTTTGAATCCCAGACGGGCTTTTAACCCCAGAAAGCTGCGGGTTCTGTGGAGAGGCAGCCCACGGCTCCCTGATGGACGGGTTAAAGGGGAACGATAAATCTCACTGATATGAACAAAGGCATTAATAATAATAATAAATAAATTTCAACACAACCATTAACTGTTTTAGCTCTAACTTTGATCTCATCAGTGATAGATGTGCTGGTTCTAGGATTCTGGGGTGAACTGGACCCTGTTGGGTCTCTGATGAACCACAGAGTTGAATGTTTATTTTCACTCATCACAGATTCTGGCCCCGTCCACACGAAACCAAACCCTGGCCTAAACGCACAAATTTTTCACCAAACCAGCCTCTCATCCACACGAAGCCGGCGTTTCAGGGGTCTGTAAACAATCTTTTTTTTATTAAGCCTTCAGAGTCGGAAGATTTTGAAACGCCGTTTTCTCGTTTCCATCTTTACGCTCTAACCGCATTTTTTTTTTACACGCATGCGTCATAGCGTCGCCTCTAAACACGCATGCGTGACACAGTATCACAACAACAATGGCGCCGTACTGTGTTGAATGGTTGCTGCTCATGCTACTCACCCTGCTGTCGTGCTTACAACAGAATCTTCTTCTTCTGGAATATCTCCAGGAAGAACAGAGCAATATCGACCACATAGTTCAGCACCTGAATTTGACTGAACCACGAAAATGGACCCGCAGGGCAACCATGTATAAATATTAGTGCGCATGCCCAACATTTCGTCGCCTATTTTTGCTTTGGCACCACAGCGCCACTTACAGGCCTGGCATACATTTTGCAGCGTTTTAATGCATTCGTGTGGACAATCACATTTATTTTACGTCTCCATCTTTACAACAAACGTTCTGGAAAATATTAGCGTTTCGTGTTCGTTTTGACTTCGTGTGGACGGGGCCTCAGTTTTTAGAAACAGAAACTTACCTGCTGGTTTCATTTCACCAGGTGAGCTGGCCTATAGAACTGGATCCAATCAGCTGATTTTTATTGGTCTTTTTCACAAATTAGAATGAAATAAAGCTGAGTCTGATCATTTGTTTACATGAATAAAAAATAATTCAGTTTTATAGTGAGTTTAGTTCTGATGAGTTAAAGAAACATGTTTTATGTCTCCTGTATGAATCTGTGTGTTTCAAAGGTAATTGTCACAAACCGGGGACAGAGGGACCCAGTATTCAGGAGAGACAGTCAGTAGGAAAGTTCAAAAGGTTTATTAAAATAAAAACAAAACAAAAGCGGAGCTGTGGCTCGCGGACACTGCAGGCGGGGGGGCGGGGCACCGCCCAATCTCAGACACTCTAGGGGGGGAAACACAGGTAAGTGACCACGATAAACTGATGTATGATTATCTGGGTTGGTCACTTACCTGGTTTAACAGTCCAGACCACGAGTGTCCCCAGTGCTGCAGTCCCAGAGGTGATGCTGGAAGCTGATCCTGGTGAGGGATCCAGAACAGACAGGAACAGACAGGAACAGGCAGGATCCAGATCAGACAGGAACAGAAACAGGTTGCAGGATCCAGACTTCCAGGCATCCACAGGCTCCCAGGAGGGTTCAGAGTCAGACTGGGACCAGAAGCATGACCAGGTGGTCACGCACAGGAGCAGACAGGATCAGGTGCAGACAGGCAGGCACAGTGGAAGAGGGTAGCCGAGACAGGACGTAGGAACCGGGACTTGAAGCAGACTTTAAACTGGTCTCCTCCCTGGAGCCAGGCTTACTTAGATAAAAACTGAACCTCCCCCCATAATGAGCCAAAAACCCAGAGGACTCCACGGGGGAGGAACAGTGGACAGTCAGGAGACGAGACAAACACAAAAACCCTCTTTCCACTGGCAGCTAGGATCCAGGACATGAACCAAATAAAACTGGACAGACTAACAAAAAGACAAGCAGTGATATGGCCCTGAATGCTCAGGCTGAACTGAATATAAAACAGAGGATACAGGTGAGAGGAATAAATTATAATTGAGGCTGGGAAGGAAGAGGGCAGGTGAGAGGAATTACTAATTAGGGGAGAGCAAACAGGCCAGATCATGACAGTAATGGGAGGAGCAGCACTGAGGCAGGAGTTTAAAACATTAGTTTGTAGAAATTAAAGTGAAAGTTTGTCAGAATAGATGTTTTCCTTCCCAACAACAGACTCTGGTTCTGGTGAGTGATGCAGAAAACAGTTTAAATGAGTTTCTACTAACAGCTTTAAGGACAAACAGGAAGCTGGAGAAATTTCTTTAGGACTCAGAGTAAATCTGTTGTAAAGTGGAAGAAATGGAGGATTAAAAAGAACTAAAGAACATTTAACAACTTAAATTAAAGAGTTTAAACTGTTTATTCTGTCCTCAGAGTTCAGACATGTCTTCTAGCAGCAACCTGCGGTCTGAGGATCAGTTCCTGTGCTCCATCTGTCTGAATGTCTTCACTGATCCAGTCAGCACACCATGTGGACACAACTTCTGCAAAGCCTGCATCACTCAGCACTGGGATGGAAATGTTCTCTACAATTGTCCTCTGTGCAAAGAACATTTTACCTCTAGACCTCAGCTGAAGGTCAACACCTTGTTCTCTGAGTTGGTTTCTCAGTTCAGACGTGAAGCTCAGCAGGAAGCCATCAGCAGCAGCAGCTCAGAGCAACAAGCTGCCAAACCAGGAGAAGTTCCCTGTGACGTCTGCACTGGAACCAAACTGAAGGCCTTGAAGTCCTGCCTGGTGTGTCTCCTCTCCTACTGTCAGACTCACCTGGAGCCTCATCTGACAGCTCCACGTCTGAAGAAACATCATTTGATGGAGCCTGTGGAGAACCTGGAGGACAGGATGTGTCTGCAGCACGATAAACCTCTGGAGCTGTTCTGTAGGACCGACCAGACATGTGTCTGTTTGCTCTGTCCTGTTTTGGACCATAAGAACCACAAGTTTGTTCCTCTGAGAGAAGAAACTGAAGGAAAGAAGGCAGAGCTGAGGAAGACAGAGGGTGAAGTTCAGAAGATGATCCAGAACAGACGAGTGAAGATTCAGGAGATCAAAGAGTCGGTGAAGATCAGTAAAGATGCTGCAGACAGAGAGAAAGCAGAAGGTGTTGAGGTCTTCACTGATCTGAAGGAGTCTGCTGAGAGAGGCCTGAAGGAGCTCATCAAGGAGATCGAAGACAAACAGAAAACTGCAGAGAAACAGGCTGAAGACTTCATCAAAGATCTGGAACAGGAAATCTCTGAGCTGATGAAGAGGAGCTCTGATGTGAAGCAGCTCTCCCAGTCTGAAGACCACCTTCACCTCCTCCAAAGCTTCTCCTCCCTGAAAGCTGCTCCACCCACCAAGAACTGGACAGAGGTCAGAGTCCGTCCACCATCACATGAGGGGACTGTGGAGAGAGCTGTTGCTCAGCTGGAGGAGAAGATCAGGGAGGAGATGAAGAAGATGATGAAGGCTGAGATGAAGAGGGTCCAGCAGTCTGCAGTGGATGTGACTCTGGATCCTGATACAGCTCATCCTTACCTCATCCTGTCTGATGATGGAAAACAGGTGAAACATGGAGATGTTAGGAAGAATCTACCAGACAATCGAGAGAGATTTTCTAGTTCTGTTAATGTTTTAGGACGTCAGAGTTTCTCTTCAGTCAGATTTTACTTTGAGGTTCAGGTTAAAGGAAAGACTGGCTGGACTTTAGGAGTGGCCAGAGAGTCCATCAACAGGAAGGGAGTGATCCCACTGAGACCTCAGTATGGTTACTGGACTATTTGGTTGAGGAATAGCAATGAGTACGAAGCTCTTGCTGGTCCTCCAGTCCGTCTCCATCTCCATCCTGGTCCTGAGAAGGTGGGGGTGTTTGTGGATTATGAGGAGGGTCTGGTCTCCTTCTATGATGTAGATGCTGCAGCTCTGATCTACTCCTTTACTGGCTGCTGCTTCACTCAGAAACTCTACCCATTCTTTAGTCCCTGTAATAATGATGGAGGTAAAAACTCTGCTCCTCTGATCATCTGTCCTGTTAATCAGGCTGATGGTTGATCTGATGAAGCTCCATGAAGAATAAATCTGTTGGTGAAGAACCTCCAACCTGAGTGACTCTGTAGTGAAATCCTAATGTGTCTGATTCCTCTCTGCTATTCATGCATCATCTCCAAGCTCAGCTCCAGACCCTCAGATCTTCCATCCATCCATCACTTCCTTCATGCTTCCCTCTGAATACAGGCAATCAGTGATTACATCTGAATCAGAACAGATCAGTTAACGATTTATGTTGGTGTTTCAGAGTATAAGGCAGCAACAGGCAGCAGATGCAGAAAAAATGTCTTCTTCTTCTTCGTCTTGTGAGGTTTTATGTTGGTTGGCAATCTAGTTAAAAGTGCATTACCCTTTTTTTATCTTGTTTATGTGTGGGTGTCTGTTTAGTGTAAAAATGACAATGAATGTGATCCAATTATAGTATTGTAATGTGATGTGCTTTCTCAATAAAAAATATTAATATAAAAAAGTGGTTTACTGCCACCAACTGATGAGTTAAACAAGGAAACAGGAAACAAAACTCACCCCTAGAAAAAAAAAACATTTTTCCAAACTGTTTAACTGAACTCAACATATAAATATTTAATCACATTTGTCCTCATAATTTTTTATTTATCTTTCAGTTATCGTCACTCTGCCAGTGTCTGATGGTCTTATCGGTTTTCCCATCATGCTTTCCACCATTTCCCAGTTTAAATCTTTAACTTCAAGATACTTTTCTGCAGCTTTCACTATTATTTTGATTTTGACGTTTTTCTTATCGTCTGAGCACTACACTTGATCACTTCAACTATGAAAAGAACAAAATCGAAAGTTACGTATGTAACTACGGTTCTATGAATCCCGGATGACCGCCAGAGGGCGGTGCTGAAAGCACTGAATGTTCCCTTCGGGCATGCGCAGTTCGAGTAATTATACCAACAGAGTCACACCTGTGACACCGGAAGACCACTCAGAAGCTATATAGCCTGGTGCCATCCTTTGCTCTGCTCCTACAGAATCTTCTCGCAAAAGCAAGGATTCTGAGTGACAGAGAAGCTCTGGCGGTCATCCGGGATTCATAGAACCGTAGTTACATACGTAACTTTCGTTCTATTTCATCCCTACTGACCGCCAGAGGGCGGTGCTGAAAGCACTGAATGACTAATGCCAACGATGTCACAAGGAATCCTGAGCGCATACCTCACAGAGGAGGCCCAGCAGAACCTTGTAAAAGGACCTGACCCAGGGGATGAGGGGCAGCCACGTTGACACTGTAGAACCTGGTAAAGGTGGTTGGGGAAGCCCATGAAGCAGCAGCACATATTGCTTCCAGCTGAACCCCTCTCAAAGCAGCCCAGGAAGCGGTGACGCTCCTGGTGGAATGTGCTCTCACACCGACTGGCAGGGAGCAGTGACCTGCAGCGTAGGCGTGGCAGATGACACTCACAATCCAATGGGACAGACGCTGTTTAGAAAGAGGACAGCCTAACCTTGGACCCCCATAGCATAGGAAAAGCTGGTCCGAGCGTCTCAGATTGGCGGTGGCTGCAATGTATGCCTCCAACGCTCTTACTGGGCACAACAACTCAGACTCATTCTCAGTTGTACCAGATTGAGGCTGAAATCGAGCCAGGCGCAATGGCTGGCTACGGTGAAAAGGAGACAACACCTTAGGCACAAATGCAGTATTAGGCCACAGGGTAACACCAGAGCCATCTGGATTCCACCTGATACACCTAGGGCTGACAGAAAGAGCATGTAGCTCGCTGACCCTCTTAGCTGAGACGATAGCCATCAGGAAAGCAGTCTTGCAGGAAAGCCACTTGAGTTCTGCTTGTGGCAAAGGCTCGAATGGAGGGTGGCACAGAGCTGTGAGAACCAACGGCAGATCCCAATCTGGGGCTCGTGGAGCGGGCCGCTGGCACAACCTACGAGCACCATGCAGAAAAAGTGAAACCAGTTCATGGCGCCCCACTGTACGGTTGTCAACAGATTGGTGAAGACATGAAATTGCTGCAACATACACTTTAAGGGTCGAAGGAGAGCGGCCCTTATCAAGGAGAGACTGGAGGAACTCCAAGATAGTGGGCACCGAGCAGGAAACCGGGTTCTCATTGTGGGCAGAGCACCACTGAGAAAAGAGGCGCCATCTGTTAGAATACTGCAGCCGAGTGGAGGAAGCCCTAGCACTCAATATGGTGTGCCTCACAGTGTCTGAACACCCAGTCAGCCTCCCAGGGGTCATGCCCACAGCTGGAGACGTTGAGGGTTGGGGTGCCATATCTGTCCCCCCAACTGAGACAGCAGATCCCTCCTTGCTGGAAGACGCCATGGAGTACCGTGACACAGACTCCAAAGCAGCGGGAACCACGGCCGCGCTGGCCAGAACGGAGCTACCAGCAACACTCTGTGGCCCTGCTCGAGAACCCTCCGTAGAGTCGGCCAAATCAGTGAGAGGGGTGGAAAGGCATACAGGAGAACCTGCGGCCATGGATGAGCCAGTGCGTCCTGGCCCAGTGCGCCCGCCACCCCGGTTAGGGAATACCATAGGGTGCAATGGGTCGACTCCTCTGTGGTGAACAGATCTACCTCTGCCTGCCCAAAGAGGTTCCAGATTATGCGCACTATGTCGCGGTGAAGAGACCACTCTCCCGGAGCAGGTGCCTGGCGGGATAGAGAGTCCGCAACCTGGTTCTGCCGTCCTGGCAGATACGCTGCACGCAGGGTACACAGACGGGGAAACGCCCATTCCAGGAGATCCCTTGACACCTTCAAGAGACGCGCTGACCTGGTGCCCCCTTGGTGGTTTATATGATATACAACAGAGGTGTTGTCCGTCCGAATCAGCACATGCCTTCCCTCTAGGTGGGGCAAAAGGCACCGGAGGGCCATGTGCACAGCCCGCAGCTCCAGCACATTTATGTGTTCGGTGCGCTCCCTTGGGTCCCAGAGACCCCGAACAGCTCTGTGTTGCCACACGGCACCCCAGCCCATGAGGCTGGCATCCGTGGTGACCACCTCCCTTCGACACACTACTAGCCCCATTGGAACACCACTGGACAAAAGGGTCCCCTCTCGCCAAGGAGCTAGGGCATGGAGGCAGCTCCTGGTCACCATCAGCCTGCGATGCCTGTGCAGCCTGGCGTCTAGGCGAAAGCTGTTGAGCCATCGCTGCAAAGGACGCAGAAGGAGCAGCCCTAAGGGCACGACACGAGTGACTGATGTCAGTTTGCCCAGCATTCGCAGGAAGATTATGTAGGGAAACTCCCTGCCCAGTCTGAATCGACGGACAAGCTGGAGTATGTCGTCCACCCTGTGAACAGATGGACGGGCCATCATGGTAGCGGAGTCCAGATGCATCCCAAGAAAGGTGGTTGTCTGAGATGGAACCAGACAACTCTTTGCCAAGTTGACTTTGAGGCCTAACAGTGACACATGAAGTAGAAGCTGGGACGTATCCCGAGAGGCAGCTACCTGAGAGGGAGCACAAAGAAGCCAATCGTCCAGGTATGGCAGAATCCTGACTCCGGAGGCCTGTAGAGGACAGAGGGCTGGTTTCACGCATCGAGTAAACACCCTCGGGGAAAGGGAGAGCCCGAATGGGAGCACCCGGAATTGCCAATGGCGCCCCCGATAGGCGAACCTGAGAAAACGGCGATGTTCTGCCGCAATAGGCACGTGAAAGTAGGCGTCTGTCAGATCTATTGATGTAAACCAATCTCCCGCCACAATGGTCTGAAGGACCTCTGTTATGGTGAGCATGTGGAAGGGAAGGACCTTCAGGTACCGATTCAGTCCCCTTAGGTCTAAAATGGGGCGAAAACCACCGGTCTTCTTGGCCACAAGGAAGTATGTTGAGTAGTAGCCTCTGGGTTGCCGCAGAGGATCTACAGACTCGATTGCCCCCTTGCCCAGGAGGGCAGAAAGCTCCTGGTCTAGTGCCTGAGATTTCACCGGGTCTGTGATGACAGTCATTTTGACACGGTGTGAGAGGGGGGGCCGCCGTCGGAACTGGAGCCTGTAGCCATTGGTTAAGGTGGCAACCACCCATGGATCTACGGCATGAGCAGCCCAGAAATTCAGCTGCTGATGGGAAAAATGTCCGACGGCTGGCCCGGTGGCATCATCTTCTATCCCCACGGCCCCTGGGGGCTCTGGGGGGAGGGCGTCCAGGATTTGAGGCCCGGGTCTGTCTAACAGGGCGGCAGACTGGCTCACGAAAGTCCCTTCTCGGTCTCTGCCGCACATCATGGGGATAGAAACCAACAGGTCTGCCACCAGTCTGAGGTCGGGGCTGAACGCTGGTGGTAGTGGCAGGGCGGCCCGAACGCTGGGGAAAGGCAGGTATGCTCCTGCGAAGGCCGGAAAGCTGCTGGCTAGTCTGACGTGCCTGAGCAGTCCGTTCCAGCGCCTCCAAGGCAGCTGATCCAAACAGCTCCCCTGGTACAACCGGGACACCCCTGAGGGTCCTACGGCATGCTTCAGTCAGAGGAGACTGTGCCAACCGGACCTGTCTACGAGCTTGGACAAGGAAAGACATGACCTGTCCAAGCTCTCTGGTCATCAGCGCAAAGGCCTGCAGCGCTGCGTCACTATAACCAACCGCCGCACTTGCACCACCAGTGTCCTGAACAGATGCAGACAGGGCAAACATGAGGTGCGCCAGGGAATTGCCAAGGCGGCCAGCACGCGCTCCTGCATTGTACGCCTTACAGAGGAGGTCATCTGTAACCCGACATTGAGTCCGCGGGCACCGGACATCAGGACGCAGGGCTTCATCTGGTGACACAATCAGTGAAGCAACAGCGGGTTCAATTGCTGGCATACGGTCCAGGCCGGCCTTCACTGACTCATGCATGGCAGCTAATACGCGACCATCAGAGGAGAGACGCGACAGCGCTCTCGGTTCCCGCCAACAGGCGTGTAACTCCTTCAGGTACTCCTCTGATGGAGGTACAGAAAAGGGAGTAGGAGCCCTTCCACGTCTGAAAAAAGCACTCCCGGAGCTGGATGGCTCTCCTTGTGGGAGTTCCAGCTGAAGCTGCTTCAGGGCCATAGACATGACCTCCCGCATGGAACCGTCACCGGCCTCTCCAACCGCACTCTGAGATGAACATGAACCAGCCTCAGAGGCTTGAGAGAACCCTGCCTCCTCCTCATCTCTAAAATGGGAAGCGGAAGCAGCCAGAGAGATAACGTCATCCTCTACAACCAGCTCAGGCATTGGTGGGGAAGAGAGCCCAACCACTGGGAGCGAGGGATCAGATTGCCGTGTCTGCAACAAGGACTTCATCTCTGCCAGCTCTGCTGACAACTGCTCCACCCTTGTGGACAGGCCCTGGTCAGGTTTGGCCCGC